CTTATAATTATTGAGGAATGTATTTTTTCTTTCTTTTTATGTACACTGAGAGCACATGCACTAAAGACAAATTCCTTGTGTGTCCAATCACAATAAAGAATTCTATTTCTATTCTGTAAGAAGTGCCAATTACCATTTATTTTGAATCATAACTTCAAGATGGTCTTCAAGGGCACTCCCATGTAGAATGTATTGCAGTAGTCTAATCATGGGGTGCCCATGCCATGAATGACTATCAAATATATCCTCATTCTTATTTATAAATGGTTTCCTGTTAGCAAACTTGTTCTGTCAAATGTCAAAATAAGCTCAGTCCTAATTTTCTGATAAGGCATAAAGACTCAACCATTTATCATCTCCCAAGCTATGAGCAAAAAGATAGTTGAGGGTGAGGGCTGGGGGCAGGGAGAGGACTTTGCTGAAACTGATGACCAACTTTTTTGCCAATCCACAAAGACAAAAAACATTCCAGGAAGAACAGGGAAGGCAGCTCCTATACACAAGTCACCATCGAGTTAATAATAACCCAGGAAGGTTAATCAACAGTTTCTCAGAGCTTTTAGGAGCTACAAAAGCCGCAGCCTGTGAATCAGCAAACCAATGTGGTTATTAGAGGGGGTACACTAGTAAGCAAGGAGAATAAATTATATAGAGCTGCAGAAGGGGCTACAGCAACCCTAGATGGAAGACTACCTTCCTCCCACATTAAAGTAGACTCAAATTTATGTTGCTCATCATTGTAGGCAGTGTCCACTGATGACAATAATGTCTTGTGCAGAAGTTCCTGGTAGTGCAATAATCCATGTAAAATTACTAATGGGAGCAAAGAGATGTAGAAAGCCACTGCATTTTTTGCAGGACTGACCTCTGGGGCCCTTAGATCTGATTCCTGTTCAAAGGAGAGAAAAAAATCTCCCTCTGTAAGGTGAGGGTGCACTAGTTTTGCACGTAACCTCAGAACTAACGCTGCAGAGGTTGCTGGAGTCACACAGCACCGCAGGCCTATACGGGGATCTGCTGCTACTTTTTAAAATTACTTTTTATGTTTGTTTGTTTTTAAATACAGAATAAAATTTAAGGAAAAAGAATAAAACAAAAGCGATGAGACAAGAATAAATAAAGTGAAAAGAAAAAAATAGGAGAAGAAAAAATACAAAAGACACTACATGGAGCTTACCTGTGAAAATTATCTGGAAGCTACTGCAGAATGCAGCCATGCAAGCAATCTTAGGCAAGCTGCATTTATTGTCGGTTTGCTTCTGTGTCCAATGCACAGTGTTGGTTATGAACTTTAAAACCCTACGTGGCATGGGGTCAATTTACTTGTGATGCATGCAGCCATGGGGCTGGTTAGTACCCTGAAGTCCCTTCCCTAACTTTTAAATATTATTCTTATTTTTAAGAGTTTTATATTATAATATTTAAACATGCCCAATACCACTCTATGAGGGTGATAAAACTGATGTATAAATAATAACTAAATAGAACATTTGATTGTCTTTGCAGCAGTTGTAAATGTATTCAAAATGTATTCTCTAGAGCAGGAGTGTCAAACTCAGATTACATTGAGGGCTACATCAGGGCTGTGGTTGACTTGGGGGGGCGTGGGGCGTGGTCGACTGGCTGGGTGTGGCCAACTGGGTGGCATGCCAGCTTGACGCCACTCACTGGATTTGGCTGACTGGGTAGGTGTGACCAACTAGTGGGCATGGCCAGCTTGACATCACTCCCCAAAGTGCTGGCATGTTTCCTCTTCATATTGGGTAAACCAGGCCAAAGCAACGTGGGCCGGCTCCTTACATTTTTTAGGGTAGCCCAGCAGGCTGGATCCAGCCCGTAGGCCTTGTGTTTGACACCTCTTCTCTAGAGTTAATGGTGCTTCTTTATTTTAAAAAAATACTTGTGCTTTGCTGGAGCGGGCCAGAGCAGCTTCAAAGGATTTTCAAAACAAATTAGTCTTCTCTTGTGAACTTTATTTCTTTCTATCAGAAATAACATATAAAGATCCAAACTCAAAAGTGTAAAAACTTTGTGCAAGGAAGTGGGGATTTATCTACATAAACTTTTTGCTATGTGAAAGAAGGCTGACTAGAGGGGTTTGGTCGTGTCTTGTTTTGCTATTTTTATAGTAAGCTCTTTGGGGCCAGGACAGTCTGCTTCTAGCTTTGCAAATTTTCCACTGTATTAGAGGAAGAACAGCCTGGTGGAGTTTTAGAGAATCATACCAACTTTTTCCAGTAGCAGATAGAAGGCTGTATGTGCAGATTTTATTGGGTTCAGTTTTTATTGTATTTGTCTTTTAGAAAATACAGATATAAGAGCATAGGCACCTAGAGTTCCTGAAAAAGGAAATGATTTTGTTTTAGCTGTTGTTAGGCCACCAACGTGTTTCAAGCCCGACTTGTTTTTATTGACATGCATTGTGCAAAAGCTGGCTGCACCGTCTGCCTGCCTGCCTGCCTATGGAGTTCAGCCTTCACAATGGCAGAGAGAGTCCTAGAGAGCAGGAGGCTAGTTACAATGCAGAGACTAGCTCGATTTAAAGCAGAAGCTGGATAACCTCCAGCTTCTTTTTTCTACAAATAAAGATCAGGTGACGAGGGGAACATTGCATACTAGGCTTTGTTTAGTTTTAATACTACCACACACTAAAAATTAAATCCATAAAAAGAGAAAGCCTGAACACGCAGATTCTACTCACAGTCTAAAATAGGATCTGTTTGGTCTTCTGCTCCTGGCCAATATACACAGTTCTGTATCCTATTGCCTGTCTGCCATGACTTCATGGCCAATATCCAAATACCTGAGACAGCACATTTGGTCTAATTTTATTTTCTTTGAGAGTGTGGCCAGAGTAATATCATCATTTCCTTGATTTGGCACAAGGAGAAAGAAATCCATTCATTCTTGTTAGCAGAGAATTATACAAAAACAGAGAATTATACAAAATTATACAAACATTTGTGATTTGACAATGTCCCTGGTGAGAGCTAGTTTGGTGCATTGGTTAAGGTACTGGACAAGAAGTGAAAAACCAGGAGATACCTGCCTTGTATATGAAAGCCAAGAGAGTGATAGCCAATCACTCTTCTCAGCTCCACTAAAAAAAGCAATAACAAACCACTTTTGAAAATTCTACTTAGAAAATTGCATAGACTTTTCCAAATAGTTGCCGAGTTATAACTGACTCGAAGGCATATGTATATATGTATAGATGTGTGTGTGTATGTGTGTGTAACGTGTATATGTAAATGTATATATAATTGTAACTACATATTATAATTGTGTATTTAGGGCAAACATAGGTTTCAACCCATTTAGTATGTAAAATCATCTTCCTTTATATTTAAGTAAGATATTTACCTATATTCTTTCACTAAGAGAGGTAAACAAGGTTAATACATTTCATTTCTTTTGCATTGCTGTAAAGATATTGCTGATAATTCCTTAAGGAATGCAGGCATTAGCTATTCTGAAGTTCTGTGTAAATCTTCAGAAAGCAGTATTTAGCATTTTTGCTTTTAACCCTTAAACATTTTTCCTAGATCAGCCTTGTAAAATGGAGGAGTGGAGCAGTAGAAAACACTGTCTGGTTTAAGCATGTTATACAGATTCAACTGGATATTTTTGAATTAGATCAGAAATTAATATTTGGGGCACATTTTTTAATTGGAGATTTTCACCAATTACTTGCCAGTATCTAATAAAAATTATTAGCAGGACATTCTATATTGCTTATTTTATGACTAGACAGATATCGCTGAGCAAAATAGGACTGGGCTTCCTTTCTTCTGCTACCATACATCCACTTGTTTAAAAATAATTATATTAAACAGCATCCTCTTTCAGAAAAACAAAACCTGTACACATTTTGATATAGATAGCTGTGTGCAGGAGTGGGATTCAAATTTTTTAACAACCGGTTCTATGTGCGTGGCTTAGTTGGTGGGTGTGGCTTGGTGGTCATGTTATTGGCTGGGCATGACCAACTCAATATCACTCACATCGAGGCAGGGCATCTCCTCGCCTGGCTTTTCATGACCATGGGGATGCTGCAACAGTCATAAGTGTGAAAAATGGTCATAAGTCACTTTGTTCAGTGCCATTGTAACTTTGAATGGTCACTCCACACAAGCAAAGTACCAGCAAAGGAGGGGGAAAAAACTCCAGAGAAGTTCCTGAGACAGGAAGTCTAGTCCTGCTAAGAACGTAATAAGAGTTAACGGAGAAGCAGTTTCTGTAAGCAACACCAGAATGTTTCCTTCCTGCCTTCCTTACAGGATTAGGCCAGTAATTTCTTCTAACAACTGGTTCTCTGAACTGCTTAGAATGTTAACAACAGGTTCTAGTGAATAGGTGCAAACTGGTAGAATCACACTCCTGGCTGTGTGTGTTGAATTAAACAGCCAGCTCTCACTTAAGAGATTGATTCCATTTTCCAAAGAAGAAATCTACTCAGAAATAGAATTAGATATTAACTTTCTGAATTTGTCATTTTGTCAATTGAGCTCTAGATTAGCAGGTTCAAATCAGAACTTTGGGTGTGAATAGAGTCTTCCCCAATCCCTATCTGATCAGCTTTACTTTAAAAGCAAGTACTGCAAAGTTTTCCAGGTTTGTTTCTCTGGATTCTGTTTGCTTATTCAGAGCACAGATTGCTTAATAGTCTGCATATTTCCTGTTTATATTCATTTAAATGTGCAAAAGTATTTAGAACCAACAGCAAGCAGAGTTAATAAATCTCCACTGGTCACATGGAAAGAACAGATGTAGAGAACAAACACTGTATGTTATATTGGTTGTGAAGGTGGGGGGGGGGGAATTAACACTCTTTGAAAATCAAATGGTTGAAGGTGTAATTAGGGCAGCCAACAGCGAATTGCCAATAAATTTCAAAGAATGCCAAAACCAATGAAGAGCTGTTGATGTCAGCTGCTTTGTTGTAACCAAGGAAAATGCTTTTGAGGCCTATGGGCTAATTTTTGTCTGTTGTATTTCAGATAATAATGTATGTACCACAAGAGGAGCAAATTCATGTCAACAGTGCCTGGCTGTAAATCCACATTGTGCTTGGTACTTCAATGAGGTAAGTCAAAACTAAATCTATATGAGTGCATAATAAGCACTTATCATGTAGGACTCGAAGGACACTTCAAATGTAAGTTTAGGGGTTTTTTTTGTACACAGACACAAGGGCTTTGAATTCTATCCTAGATGTTCTGATGCTACCAGTAACAAAGCAGAGTGTAACCAAGTTTCAAAAATGCTGTCCTATTGCCTTTGCCTCAGATTCTTTTATGGAGGGAAAAGCGCCAAAGGAAGAGTGGGGAAATACGAGAGAGTTATTGGTGAAATATTGCACCATCTAGACCTCAGATAAAAGTACGAGTTTCAGGCATGTTGTTGCACAATAAAAATCGTGTATGGAAGCATGCCCAGATTTAACCATCTGTAGTGAAACCTGCTGACTGACTGTGTAGTTAATTGTATATTTAAGAAACAGAATAACAGATAAAACCCACAGGAAAGAAAAGCCAGATAAAAGCACTGGGCAGATTAAAATAATCAAATGCTGTTGGAGAGTTACCATAAAAGGCCTTGGGCAGAATTTCTAAGGACAAAAAACCTGACATTTTGGAAAGCTTATATTTATGGAATATAAGTTTATGGAAGAATGTATTTCGTCAATATTGGTTCTGAATAATCCATAATTGGTAGTCTTTGCTAATAGTTATTTATGCCTGGATCACTGCTTGAATGGACTATTATAATGCACTCTAAATGAAGTTGCCCTTGAAGAAACTTCAACTGGTACAAAATGCAGCAGAGCAGACAATTATGGGTGCCCCTAGAGTGGCACATGTCCGTGAACTGCATTGGTTGCCAGTTTGCTATTGAGTGCCATTCAAAGTGCTGTTTTTGACATTTAAAACTTTACATCACCCCAAAGCCAACGTATTTGAGGGACTGCTTCTTCCTGATTATTTATACCAATCCCATCAGGTCAGGTGAAAAGAACATGTTACATGTCCTTTTCTGACATGGCATTTTGGAACATCACTCCCCTCAAGGTCAAATTAGGCCTTACAGATATGTCTTAAGATGTGGTTTTTCCAAGAGACAAGGATCCTTTGGGAAAAGGGACCCCGTGAGATGGTTTTATTATGTTTGAATTTTTATTGCATGCATTAAAACAACATGTTGTATATATGTTTCTTGTTTTTTGTGCTGATTTCAAGATGCTTTCTAATCGTTTTACTTAATGTAGACTATACTTGTAAGATAGATAGCTATATACATTTGATAAATAAATAAATACCCATGTAGAGCCTACCCACTTTCCATTATAGCTCAGTTGTTATATATAGTGATCTTACAACACCTATCATCAGCTGTGTTTCTATGTCGTTAATCAATCTGGAATGTGCCATTTACCAGCTTCTTTCGGGGGGGGTTTCAGCTAAAATGGTAAAATATTATTTCAGCCATTCTTAACATATATTAATATATTTGTATACTTGTGTGCAGTAATTCCTGGTCTTTGTTTCACTTACCAATCTTCTTGCTCTTTTGATTAAAGTATTTCACAAACAAATACAAAATTTTCAAATCACCCAAGCATCCAGATTTTATTTTCCTTTTCCTTACACTGTGTCAATTTAACAAGCTTCAGTATTGACAGAATATTGCAGAAAGTCTACACTGCAAAAAAATACAACAGTTGCAACTGCCTTGTAGCTTGCAGTAGAAGAATTATGGTTGAGTAACTGTTAGAAATACATGGTAAAGGAGTGTGAAATGCTACATGTAAAAAAAATAAGCTGAAGGATATGTTTCTTTTAAATCACAAAAACCCAATTAATAATGGCATCCTCTTAAAGTATTTAAATAATGCTTTTCCATTAATGTTAAATCCCAAGAAGGAAAGCCTTTTGGCTCCAATCTGCCAGGAATAGGAGAAGATTTTAAAAGAGAAGCAAAATGCCCACCCACCCCGCCCATTTCTCTAGAGTCTTTTGATTATGTTCCCAGAATTTTTTCAGTTTAAAAAGCATGTCTTCTCACTGAAAGTTCCTTTATTATTCCTTATTGAATAATTGTAAGTTGCTTCAGCAAGTAGCTTTATTTTTGTTTTTGACCCAAGATTAAACACCATGGAATAAAATCTCAATAATATTATACAGAACAGTTGGAAGAGCACTTGGCAAGCATATACCACTAGTGAGATATTAAAAGAATCGTACACAATGACCCCTAAAATGCATTTATTCTTTATAAGCAAGCCAGAAAACAGAGGCAATTTTAGAAGCCACTAGTGAACTCCAAAGAGCTGTTTGGTATCATTTGGGAGGCAAAAATTGCATTTCTTAGTGTTTCTTCATCAATGAGAAGTAATCAGGCAACCTTGGCATTTACTACACAATTTTCCTTTCTGTGAATACGTGTATGATCTAGTTCTATCTTCTGGTGTTAAGGCTTGATAGGTTACTAGATGATAAACCAAATAAAGGAAGATTATGGTCCCATAATCTCTTAAATCCGATAAATTTAAGGGACTCTTAAGTCCCATACATTCAAAACTCCTTGAAGACAAGATTACATGGAGATTTCTAAAGAGAGCAGTATCTGTGCCTGCTGATATATTGACAAAGGAAGGAGGCACAGTCATTTTATATTAATAAGTACAATTGGTAGATTCCACAAATTTGAAATGTACTGCTGTCTACCCTGGAAACCTTGCAATTTAATCTTAAAACTATAGGTTTCTGAATAATAAATGTGGAAGTGAATTGCAATTTACTTGTGGATGGAGGATGCCAATATACAGTATAAACCAAATGTGCAGGTTGCCCATGTGAGGAGTATGTAGCATCATTAATTAGGCATCTAGCTAAAAGACAGGAGGTTTCCAGAGCATGGCTCAATTCAGGCCGCCATCTCTCAGACTTGAAGCAGATCTGAAGTTTTTGCTACAGGCTGAATCATGTCCAAGTGCGTATGTATAGGAATTTAGAGGTGACTTGGGGAAATTATGAAAGAATCATTGAGGAGACTTGGGGAAGTGATTCAAAGTCCAAAGACTGAAGCAAATGAGAGAAAGAAGTTCAAAATAACCTCACCTTGATTTTGTTTAGTGTAAGATGAGACAAAGAAAAACTTTGTTAGGCTTTCAAATTCTGTTATTATACATGGCAGCAATAAAGTATTATTTCACTGTCTATTTCTCGTCCTGGCCTACCTTGAAAGCATGATAGGGCATGAGATTCTTCAGCCTGGATGTATATATGACCTGAGATTAATCATCTTTCACTTAGACAGAATAGCAGAATGAGAAACAAAAATGGTACATAGAATAAACCTTAATTCTCTGTTTATACCTTGTTGTCCTCTTGTAGGTCCTGAGATATTGAAAAATCAGACCATTGGATTCATGTCTCTAACAGTTTTAGAATTTAAATCTCTTTATTGGGTTTAGAATGAAAATAAATAAAATTTGAAGCCCATCATCTTTGTTTTGAAGCACCAGTCTTACCCGGGCTCCTTCCTTGATTACAGCATCCTCTAAATCAGGGTGTGGAATTATGGCTCAGGAATTCTGGGAGTTGAAGCCCACAAGTCATAAAGAGGCCATCATTGCCCACCTATGCTTTAAATGCTCAGCACAGCTAGCATTCATGGCTATAATGTGACATATCTCTATCCATGCCTATCTGTCATCTAATCTGCTAATCCTCTGGGCAGCATAGAAATTTAATAAATAAATCCTCACTGTCCTGTTGTCCCATTGATGGAATGAACAAGGAAGTAGGAATGGATGCTGTTGCTCTGCACTCACACTCCTCTCATTGCAAAGCACCTCCAGGTGCCTTTTCCTGCTGAAATTTTAAATTACTCCTCTACCTTCCCTTATGTCACTTTGAATGTTCATCCATTTTGGTGATATACACTTTTTGTTACAGACTATGCCCAGAGATCACTCGCTACTTTCCAAAAGCAGGAATGCCACCTCAAGTGAATCAATAGTTACAAGTCTCTCTGATGTCTTTTAGAACTTTCTTTAGAAGGAATGCTGTAATAACACAATGTTTGCCTTATATATACAGTAGAAGATTGCTGGCTTGGGACTCATCAGAAACACTTTTTGCTTATGAATTAGCTACTCTTCTTTGGATTTTTATTAAATTAAATACAGAGATGCATTGTTTCATCTTTAGATAAAGATGATAATTAAACAAAAATGTTACTGCTGGGTTCCAAGTCAACAACATTTCATGTGTAAGGCAAACATATAGGCATTGATAGCAGAATTCTTACTTTAAAACTGGTTTCTTGTACTTTATGCTTGTGCATTTTGGTGATTTAACTTCATATACATAAATAAGTTTAATTTTGTACATTTGTGTATAAATAAATAAATGTACAAATCATACACTACTAAAATTTAAAACCATCCTGTCAGCATTCTAATATGACAGTTTTAACATTTTCATACTGAAGTTCTTTTTTGTTTGTTTGTTTATTTATTTATTTAATTAATTTTCCTGACAGCACAGTTCCTAACAGCACAGTTTCATTAACTCAGTTCATTATAAAAAAAACAGTCCTTGAAAAAATAGTATTGTATGAAGATTTACTGTAACACTCAAGTTGCTTTCTTTTATAGGTACATCAATAAAAGCCTACTTATTTATATTGGTTTTATAGCTTAGTATATCCTTAGTATTTCTCTTTCCTTTATTTTGTATATGCTGGTTACAAAATGCTAGCGTGTTTCCACTTTTTTCCCTCTGTCCAATTGACTGTCTTCCTCATAATTCCTTTCCCTCCTAATTCTTCCAGTTTCATGAGTCCCTTCCTTATAAGAAGCATCCAGTTAATTCTTTATTTACTTTAATAGAGTTCAAGTAGAACTTTATAAAACTAAACATTCCACTCCAGAGTAGTCCAGAAACACTGATCTGTCTATTATGGTATTGAACTGGTTGTTTTCTGGAAATCAAAGAAAGTGATTCATGATGATCCAGAGCTATTGTTTCATATCAAAAGATCAGATCATGTTTTAACTACCCTAGCAATTCAGAAGAT